GTAATGTCATGAATAGAGAATGGGAGAATGAGGTACCTTGGCCCCCTTTTATAGGGGGAGTGTACCTTTTGGGCCCCAGTTGGGCCTGACCCCTATCGTTGGGCTTAGATGTCTTGGTGGGCTTATCTTCCAATATGTATCCGCTTTATCCATTAAACCGGGTCCAGTATAATATCCTATATCACATTATTAAAAACCTCCTTATATACAACGTTATTAGTTTGATTACTGGGTAACTCACTGTCCCCACAAACTAATATTTTCAACCCCTTCATATTAGTAACACATGAAACAGAGACGTATAACTGGCCATGACTAAAAACAGGTTTTTTCAAGAACAATCCTACATGTGATAAAGACTGACCCTGACTCTTGTTTATGGTCATGGCATAGGAAACCATAAAGGGAAATTATCTCCGCTCGAACTTAAACGGAACCCTAACATCAGAAGGAGTTATGTTCATCCGAGGAATCAACACCTTCTCACCTGCGTGATCTCCAGTCAATATCCTACATTCAAGAACATGCGGAGAGAGCTTCGTAACAACCAAACGTGTGCCATTACACAGACTCATAGAATGGTCCATGTTTCGCAATAACATGATTGGAGTTCCTATCTTCAAATGCAACTCATGGTTCGGCGTTCCCGAACACCTCGCCTTCGTTTAGTACACCTCGAAATGCTCACATATTTGTAGCACGTATTATGCCTTTAATAAATGCACCCTACAATAAAAATAAATATATATATATATATATATTAATTAAAATATTTTTTCAAATTATATAAATTTGATATTACAAATGAAAATATTTATCTGTTCATCATGAAACAGTATATAGAATGCGTTACAGCTCTCCCGTTCGTGATGCGTCTCAATTATTCGGACTGCTCTCAAACACAAATAAGGTTTGTTTGTCCTACTCACGGAATCGAGTGTATCCCAGACTGGCGGCATTATATTATCGATGTGTTCTGAAATTTATCTCTGTATTTTTTTTTCTCTGAACGTTGTGAATGAAGTGAAAATAGGAAAAAAAATCTTTTTCACCCCAATACAAAGATATATCAAGTTTTTCACACCGCCCACTAACGATCTAACTTTTTCACCCCGGAAAGTGCGAAGATTATGCGAATGGACTGCATAACTGTCGCATATCAATTGCATAAATGTCGCATATTCATCGCACAATTCATTCGCACATTAACTTTTTTTCACCCCAGAAAGTGCGAAGGATATGCGAATGCCTTCGCACTTCTAATTTTCGCACAATGTTATCGCGTAATTATCGCATATTCATCGCACACTGCCTTTCGCACTTTAACTTTTTTACCCCGAGAAAGTGCGAATGATATGCGAATGCCTTCGTAGTTTTAACTTTCACACGATGTCATCGCGCAATTGTCGCATATTCATCACACAATGTCTTTCACACTTTCTGGGGTGAAAAACTTAGTTTTTTATTGGGCGGTGTGAAAAACTTAACATGACTTCAAAACAGGGTGAAAATAACTATTTTCACAAGAAATCATGGTGGTAGTGATATCCTTTTATACAACTTTTTTTAGCAAAAAAGTGATTGATGAAAATTATTTAAATGGAAAGATATTGGTAAGATTTTAACCAAAAGTGATTGATGATAATTATGGATCAGTTTTAATTAATCTTTTTTTTTTTTGCCAGACACCTTATTAAACGCATGATATGCGGCTTTCTAAGAGGAGATTTATATGAAGCCACAAAAAGATGAGATTTATTTGGAATTTGGTTCCATATTTTTTATTGTATTCCTAAAAAAAATCAGAAAAATAAATATGCTAATAAAGAGTCCGGATTGTGAAAAAAAAAAAAGGAAAAGTTTGAGTCCGAATTGTGGAAAAATTAATGCAATGGCGTGAAAAAATTAATGTAATGGCGGGATTCCATAAATATAATGATTTATTCTATAGTATCTATTGCAATTAATGCTCACTATTTATTAGGCCGAATTGTTAAAACAATACTAAGAGTGATTTTAGGCAATTTTATTAATTTACTATTTTTATGCAATAATTAATGAAACTGACGGGAAAATATTTCTAAAAGTTAATTATGTTAATTCTTATTATATATTAATAGATTCACCTCTGATGCAATTAATTCCTCCTGGCTAGGAATTGTGTAGAAAATTGTCATCTTGGGCCCACCCAAATGCATATGCTTTGTAGCCCCTCTCTTATCCAACATCTTTAACAAAGTGGCCACTAGTAGTGGGATTTCAGCCCACCGTTTTCTTCAAATTAATTACTTTGGGCCTCAATTGGATTGAACTCGTCTGGTGTGGGCCAGTTGCCTACTCAATTTTCATTCGGTGTTACGTCGCCAATAAAAAATATTCCGCTATTCTGAAAATAAATTATAAAAATATCATATTACTTGAATTCATATAATAAATAAATAATTTAAAAAATATATAAGTGCGGTAAAATTAAGCATATAAAAATACGCTAATAAATATATAAAATATACACTTTTTTCGACCAATCACGGACTCTTCTTTCCATCTCGGGTCTTAGGGTATCTTGTTTTTTTTTATCTATTTTCCTTTTTATGGCCATTTAAGGACTTGTTTGCTTTAAAGTTTGAATCTTACTTTCGTTTTATCTCAAAATTGGTTCTTTAATTAAATTGAAACCCTAAATTGCAAAAAAAAGTGGACATGGCCTATTTTTTTCCTTTCATGTGTGAGTCAATCATTGTCCGAAATCGTGTTTGAACAATCTTCCTCAAAGATTTCAAATTCTCTCATTGTCAGACTGTTTTGCATCCAAATGCATAGATCCAATTAATTTTGAGCCAAATTTTGCCGAGTTAAGGATCGGGTATAAGACACTAGGTTTCCAAAGTGGTAGCAAGCGGAGTCAAAAGAAAAACGAGTGCGAGGATGAATTAAAAAAAGTGGCAAACCTAACATCCTGCATAACTGGTACTAGGTGGTCAGCTAAGTTTGTAGTTGTTGCAATGAAATCATTTGCAAAACGTCACCATTGAATGACTCAACTTATAGAGTCATCCATAGTTATTTACAAATGATGTATTGACAACGTGTCCTGCAATAAATACACATTGGACATATGTCAGTACATGAAGTTATGGATGACTCCATAAGAGCATCTCCAATGCTATAGCTTTGAAAGATAATAATTTTTAACACATGTCAATCAATGATTGCAATGTTAGTCCACATAGGAATAATGTCAAAAGATTAAAAATTTGAATCAAAGTAGTATCTCCAATGCATGAATTTGATAAGAAACTATTTGTATAGGTAGACCAATTAAAATAATTCATTTATAAAAGAATAATAAAAAACCAAACATAAAGTGAATGATGAGTCATTATGTTTAACATGGTGTTAGATATTAGAAAGTGGTCTCAACGTTGTTAACATTTAATGTCATCCATCTCATCATGAAAGAGCTCATGAGAAGATGCATTGGAGAATAAAGTAGTAAACACTTTTTAAAGTTGTGAGTTAAATTTAAAAGTCGGGCACCTGTAATGTTGCTTCACAATGTTGACCCTTCTCTTGGTTTGTGCAATGGAACTCGATTAATTATCACGAAATCTGGAAATCATATAGAGGGTTAAGTTCTTGGAGCAGGAAGTTCACGTCATAATGTTCTTATTCCAAGAATGTCATTAACGCCTTCATATCCGAGACTTCCATTCAAGTTTCAGCGACGACAGTTTCCAATTATGGTGTCTTACGTAATGTCTATCAGTAAAAGTCAAGGACAATCTTTATCAACCATGGGTTGTTGTTGAAGAAATCTTCATTTAATCAGGGACAATTATATGTTGTTTCTAGATTAACAGTTCCTAATGGTCCAAAAATTGTAATTTGTAATGGTGATAATGATAATGAGTCCGGTTCTTCTACAACCAGTTGTATTTGAGGAAGTGTTCCAAAATGTGTAATAAAAAAAATATTTTTCTTTCTTATTTTATATGCAATAGCATTTTTTATTTTAAATTAAGAGAACCAAATTATTTTAACCCTATCTTTTTTTTAACATCGTGCCGCAAATCGCGCAAGTGGCGTACTAGTTTTATTATACGTTAATAAACCAAGGCAGGCGATACGTACTAATTTTATTATACGTTAATTAAATTGATAGCATTTGTTAGTAGTATTTATGAAATTGAAGTTTAAACAGAACGGGACGCATCAAACACACCAATTGATATGTTAGTTAATAAACGCCACCCCAAATTCCCATTTACATTACCCACTTCACATCTGATAATACGAAATCCACATATCTGACACCCGTTAACTATTGATCCACATAACAAATAACCCCTTCGGGTCAATCTTGTTCACAAAGGCCTCAGACAGTTTACACGTCTCCTTCACCTCACGGCCTGGCCCCGCACATCACCCATACTCGACACCTCAACCGATACATCGCCAACAAACCGAAGGTTGCAAAGCAAAGCATCTCGCCCACTCAGAATAACCTTGAAAAACCCATCTACCTCCTTCGCAAGCTCGTTAAGCCCCGAATACAACCTCTCGTCCGACTCCTCCAAATCCGACAGGATCTTTGCCAACATCATTTCAGACTCGACAGTTTTCCCAACGCCATCTTGCACAATAGGGTACAATGTATTTATCAACAAGTACACGTCCTCCACCTCTCTCAAGACTGTGAACACTCCCCTCGAATACTCCTTCCTAATTTCTGTATTCACAAAATTCTGCAGATCAACAAAAGCCTCGGCCCACGAGCAACTCGCAGGCACCCGCAGATCGATCAGCTTCATACCAGAGCCCGTGAAAGCGGCAAGGAACGTGCTGCACACGAAGAGAGTCAGCTCCTTGACACCAAACATGGCCCGCATCAAGACTTCTCCTTTCGAGGAAACTTTTAATTTCGGGACATCAAGTGTTTTGGCGAGACCTTCCATAATTGAGAAGCACCTATCAAGCCTAGGGTTTTTGGCGCGAATACAATGACTCCACTCGTCAAGGGACGAACGTGCCTCCATTAACTTTGTCGGAGAAGCACCTCTCAAGTCGTGCACGGCGCAAGTGAGGTAGAGGTGGGCCCGCCTCAGGCGGGAGATCTCGGATGTGAAGGCGAGGCAGGTGTCGAGCAGCTTCATGCTGTTGCCCAAGTAGACGTCGATCCATTTCTCGTCCCAGTCCCGGACGGGCAACTCGAGGGCGGTGATGAGGACTTTAATGTCCGCATGGGTTTCGGAAAGCAAGCGTGTGGCGTTTTTCATCCACGAGAGGCACAGGACTTCTTCTGGTTTTGCAGGCTTGAGGTCTCTGAGCCTGGCCGTTAGTGTGTCCTCAAAAGTGTTGAGTAGATCGAGGTGCTTGGAGGAAAGGGAGCCCTTGAGCAGTATCATGCGGAAGGGGTTTCCGAACGGGAGGAAAGTCCTCATTGGCTCCCAAGAAGGACTCATTTGGAGCATACTTGACTGATAGAAACGGACAAACTGAAGAAAATTAACATGACAGGGAAGAGACAAGGAAAGTAAATAATGCTGGTGTCTACTTCTTTATCAACTTTCACACAGTAATAGTTGGCATAAAATGTATGAAGAAGAGCCTTCAGGTCATTCATATCATATGATTTAACTAAAAACTGAGTTACATTCATATGAATAGAGCAACAATCAAACAATGGAGTTCTAACATCACTAAAAGATGATCAGTTCAATAGAAAGGACATGTCTAGGCTAAAACATTTTCAGGAGTCTCGTGCTCAAGAATCAAATGGGAACATCGATACTATTGCCAACCCCAACTAAAAATACTTACTTTTAAAGAATCCAATATATTAATAGCAAAATCACGATAAAAGCTCACTGACAAGTGAAATCCATGAATTCCCCATAATCCAAATTCAGAAGTCTTCAGAATAACAACTTGATGTGATCCACACTCATCAAGTTCTTCAAAATGAAAAGAAAAAAAAAAAAATACTCAAGATAACACATACCAATAATTAAATAACATTCCAAATAAACCCCAACACAAAAACAAATGTCATACATTCATTTCGGGATCGTTCAAGGAGAAAAAAAATACTACCTCCTATTCTTTTTAAATGTCGTTTTGGCATTAGTAACTATTAACAAAATAAATGTCGTTTTGGATATTTTATACATATTTTTCCATTATTACCCTCATCTAGCTAATAAATACACTACGTCTTTTCATATTCACTCTTCATCTTTTCTCAAAACATTCATCTATATCCTTATTAATGAGGGTTATTATTGACAAAAAAAGTATTCTTAATAACTGTGCAACTTCTCAAAACGACACTTATTATGAATAGGAGGGAGTACTAAATTACTTCCTCATTTCACAATTCAACAAGAAACTCGACGATTCAATGACACCAAACAAATAATTCTTGTCCACACAAATTAAAACGGTCAGCACACAAACCAGCTTCAGGTTCTGAAAGCTTAAGAATTAGGTCCAACCTAAATTCCAACAGTTGAACCCATCACACATAAATATAACAATTTTCATCACGGATTCATGCAAGTCCATAAAGCAAAGATGTTAACCCATAAAAAACATAAACAAAAAACATAAACAAAAAACAAAAACAAACTCTTCACAGACAATTGTCTCCATTGGCATACCATTTAAACGGCACAAAATCTTTGCCGTTCTCTTAAAAATTCACGATTAACTCCAAGCACAAGGCAAAGAACAGCATGTACATAAAAGGGAGAGAGAGAGAGAGAGAGAGAGAGAGAGAGAGAGAGAGAGTCATACCAGTAATAGTACGCGTAGAGAGATAGAGAAAGATTGGAGACAGCCTTAAGCAAAACGTTGTTAGGGTTTGTGTTGTGAGGAATTGGGGGAAATAAAACAGGATTTCGTTTTATCTTTATCGCCAATTCATGAATTGTGTTTTGAGGCGTGATGTGAGTGAACGTTAGGTGGGTGATTACGACGATGTAGGGTTAGACGGTGGGGACGCGAGCAGGAGATCGGATTCCCTGTATGTAACGGTAAGATGATGTTGGATGGTGAATATGTCACCAATTGATGAGTTAACTAATAGATTATAAATGAATTTTAAATTATATTTATAATTAATAATTAAAAAGTTACTGACATAATAAAAAATTATTTATTACAAATAATTATTTAGAAAAATTAATATAATAAGTTGGCTGAAACAAATACTTCAATCCGGAACGCAAAGTAGATATGAGATGAAGTTCAAACATTTTAAAGGAAGTCATTCTAAAAGTCAAATTGAATTACGTGCGGTAATTTTATAAGTAACTAAATAAGTTAGCTTGTCAAACTTATCTTAAGTTAGTTACTACTATTATGTAATTTTAAACCTTTTTTTTTTTTGTGCAGAATAGGAGGCGTAGTACGGCTTAAACAACTACATTACGAGGGTAAGAAACCCCTAAGATGTCGTGCTCTAATCAAGTGGAGGGGTCTTAAAAAATGTGAAGCCTACTCGGCGTGGTCGAGGCCATTGACGCAAGATAGTCTACTGTGACTTAATAATAATTCATATTAAACTAATTAAATTATTTATTATATCGAACATTTTCGTTCACATTTTAAAATTTGAGAGAATTAATATTACATATTATACTTAATACGATTGTTAATCAACATCGAGATAGCATTATTTGATTAATATACAGTACAACAATTACAATAATATATATATATAAAAAGTCAGAAAGGTACGAAAGGACGGCATACTCTGCGCTTTGCTTCGTTCGTTGTGTTTCAAAAGCCGAATGGGGCAGCAAATCCCGCGGATCTCGTTCGGTTACCACTCAAGCACCTTTTCAACATATTTTTCTCTGCTGGCATTGTCGAGCCGGAAGGCGCGCGGATTTTCTTTCAAAAGAAGGAAAGTGAGCGAAGGCGAGGGACTAGGACTAGAAGCAAGCTACTCTTCGCAAGACGACTTAGTTAAAAAAGACGCTTTGTCTTCATTCTGGCCCTTTGGTTGAATGTTTCTTCAGGCGGCTTCTGAATTATCCAATTCGTAACTAGTTGTTAAAGAGCCGGCTATAGCCCCTTTTTTTGTAATGGAAAATAATTTCTACAGAAAATAATTTTTTTAGTAAAATTACTATAATGCTATTTATAAACATGCAGTAATAAATATTATCTTATGTTAATCTTAATAATATGCAAAACAACTTGTTAGGTAGATTTAACGGTTAGCAGTCATGTTTTTTGATGACACAGTAAGCATCTTTGCCGAAGAAGTATTGATATAGCACATAAAAGTAGCTCATGAAAATCAGTTAAAGGCTTGCTCAACTTATGGACCGGAGTTAGCTAGGTCGGCTGGTTTAGAAGCAACTTACTAATATTTGATAGCCCGACACATAAGTAGCTAGGTCAAAGACACTAGTACTTGTAGATTGACACAGGAGTAGCTCGGCTTTCGTGAGGCTCAAAACTATTGGTAGTTCGATACATAAGTATCTCGGATAGTGTGTGTGCTCGGCTGGTAAGAGCTTTCAACTCGATACAACACGACAAAGACATCATGTAGTAGGAAGCCGACCCATGGATGTATCTTATGGATTCAACACGGCAAAGACATCATGTAGTAGAAAGCCGACCCATGGAGGTATCTTATGGCTAAAGATCAACCTATAGCGGCGGTTATACACATGTGTCCACAATGGACACATGTAGCACTGTCAAACGGGCCGGTCCGGTCCGGCCCGC